AAAAAAAAAAAAAAAAAAAAAAAAAAAAAAAAAAAAAAAAAAAAAAAAAAATTAAAAGAAACAAACCATGGGGTATAAATGGGTCATGGGACCCACGGTAAGAACAACGTTTTTTAAACATGACATGAGTATAAAGACACACAATTTCTCAGACCCATAGCAAGAACGAAGCTCTATAAAAATAAGTACTGCATTAATGTAGTTCACTGAAAAAAAAACTTGAAAAACGAATTAAAAGAAAGAAGAAAATTTAGTTCAGTAATCACGATAGTTGAACTTTGTGAGTACGTCATGCATAAATACAGTACTCACGAAGTTCAACTATTGTGGGTATTTTTCAGCGATTGTAGAGGAAAGCTTACAGTTTACGATTTTGTGTTGTTACTTATAAAAATGAGTTTATTTAGCACTGTCGTAGAGCTCTAAATATTGGAAAAAGTGCATTTTTTGAAACTTTAATAATTTTTTACTGAAAGACTGTGAGGTTTAGGTATATACATTACAGTTGGTTTTTTGTTTCAAATGTACCAAATAATCTGAAAATATTTTTTTCAGATCGAAAATACAACTTTGATGGAACTGTTTACAAACAATTGCTTAAGCAATATCTGACCACATTTTTGTCTGGCAAGATGAACTTTCAGGTACATTACTGTACTTCGAAAAAGAAAGAACAAAAAAACTGGGTGCGAATTATTTTTTTCGGTTATCACTGTTTGAGCCCGGTCTATTTATTGTATCTGAAATTTTTGAAACTGCATAAAAAATTTCTTAAAAAACATCATTCATTACAGATAAGAGCAATATTTTACGGAGAGTGGGAAAAATTAGAGTATCTCATTTTTCTCTTACTTGGCTGTACTTACATCGTATGAGTCACGTGACCTTTTTGAATCCCCATGCGAAGTACAAATACATATCTTTCTGGACCTACAGTATCTATGCCGCATAGTAAATGTCACTAGTTACACAACGAATATGAATTAACTTATATTTTAACAATTAGAATACTACGAATTGAGCAGATTAGATACATGGGCTATATCTCATAAGAGATTTAACTAAGAAATAACTTTACTAAGTTAGAGCCCACAAAAAAGAGTTTTTGTATTAAGAAACATCGACCAGAAAAATACCTAGTAGAAAATCTGGTATTTAGAAAAAAAATCACGTGTTATCATTACCT